TCATCAATATAATATTAGAATATTTAATAGAGAGTATGACATTTAATATTGAGTCGTATAACATATTTCATAACTGGGGAAAGTTGAAATTTTGGCAGAGTTTCTGCTATTCATAACATATATATAAATTAAATATATTTACAATTTTTCGCAAGATTAGTTTACAGTTAGTAAAGAGTTGGTTGTAGACCATGGCAAGCAGTATCGAAGCAAGTCTAATATTCCTATTCATAATAAACCTATTCATATAATAAACCTATTCATTCTGAATTTTGCATGACATTAAAAAATAGCAAGCAGAACCAAAGCATAAATTCGTACTCCAAATAAAACCAGATATAGTATTTTATACAAATAATTTTTACTTTTAGTTTGTTTTCTATTATATCACTTTGATAATTATCTCTAAAGATTATTGATTGCTATTTATGCCTTTATAATAATATTATGACTAGAGACTTTAAAATTAATAGTAGTCTGTGTTTAGTTATTAAGAAGCGCTCTATAATATATATATAGGGATAAACAGCTGTGCTTTGTGATTAAGTAACATATTCGGACTGCCTCATCATGGGTGCCATTGGACGAAGAGAAGCCGACCAGAAACTATAACTCTGAATGTGAATAATTTGACATGGTTCTAATCTATATTTATTTAATTAATTATAAATATATTTAATTTTCTAACATTCAAATAAAATCCTATCAACATTTCAAGTCAATAAAACTAATTTAATTCTCAAATATTTGAACATTTCGTCTTAATTTTCAATGAATTGCGTCTCATTGCACATTTTATTAATAATTTGAGCGTAATTTTGCATCAGTGAAATAAAGCGACAAAGAGATCAACCACAAATAGTCAAAATATTGAGACAGATTTATGTTTAATTTCCGTTTGCATAAATTCACATCAACTGTTCCATATATAAATTATATAAATATACATATATAACTGTTTGTGTTAAATATATGTGTATATATGTATAGCATTATAATCAGTATGCACGTGACCTCCATTAAGATCGCATTGTTTGGCTGTCTCAGCTTCCTTCCTTTTCTGCCAAAACGCATTGATTGCATTATGCACTCGGCAATTTAATGCTTTCAATATCAATGCACTTTGGCCTGGCTTGGCTTGGCACTTCAACTCAACCATTAAGCAAATTACGAGCCGAAATTCCAAATACATGTGAAAATCATGCACATTGTTGCAATTTGCTCGAATGCTCAAGGCCAGGCATTGCTATGGCATGGCAGGGCATGGCATGGCTCGGGCCAGCCCGTTCAGCAGGCAAGCAGGCAGGCAGGCAGGAGGCTGACTATACAATGCAGCAAATCAACTGCATCATATGCTGATGCAATTCAATCAACTACACATAGCTATCTGCATTACCATCCAACTAAACGCACACACACACACACACACAAACACACTCACATTCAAACTCTCGCACACACACCCACACATACACTTAAAAAGCACTCACAGATCTCGAATTCAAAACGATTTTCAATTAGAAAGGATTAAGCGAGGGAAATTGCAGAAGGATTTAAAGCGCTGCATCAACAGCGAAGTTATTGAAATGAATTTGTATGCTTGTGAATGCTTGACTGACTCACCGACTGACTGTCTGCGCTGAGCGATTGAATGAATAAATGAATGAGTGAATGACAAACTCAACAAAATGCATCAAAATCCAAGCATACAAACAACAACAAAAACAAAAGGTTCTTTGCAAATCTGGGATACGGGGCAACAGCATGCAAAAATATATTGCAATGTTATTGATTTATAAGGCAAAGCACTTGCACAGCTTAAATACGCTTCGATTGAAAAGGGACGAAATAAAAGAGCACACTGTAAAAGGGGAATGCTGCAGAAAGAAATCTGCACAAAATAAGCAAAAAAGAAAGGGAAAACAAAGCATGAAAAAAAGGAAAAGAAAACAGAAAACAGAAAACAAATCTATAAGCAAGACGAACTAAGACAGCCAGTGCCAATGGCTACGGTAACAAAAGGGAATCGCAAATGAGGAAAGTCGCTGATTAAATTCCCTACACAGAGGGTTAATCAGCAAGCATGATTATCCTACAAAGAGAGAGATAGAGAGTGTAGGGACAGTAGAAAGTAGTAGACAGTAACTTAGAACAGCTTTAACTTGAGTTAATTATATTAAAAGTTAACAATATTAAGACTAACCAAAAATATTAAGAAAATTTACTGAATTAACTTCGCAACATTTAAGAGATGATTTTCGAAAGGGAAAAGTATTTAACGAATCTGAATCAGAGTATAAAAAATCAAATACATAAAAAGAAAGGAATATTTACGGTAACTAATGAAAAACTATTCCATACAAAGATATTGCAAATTTATGAATATTGCAAAATATTCATATTATTGTTATTAAAAAAAGTTTGTTGAATTTTTCTAATTAAAATATATGTTTAGCCCTAATTAAAAAACCATTAAAATCGTTAAATGTATCTTAAAATATAAAAAAATATATATAATAAAAATAATAGTTATACAAAAACAACATAATAAAAAAAAAAAATATTATTAAAAATATTTAAAGTATAATAATTATATTGACATGTTTGACTTGTCTTAAGAAAAAAATTGAAAATAATAAAAAAATTTAAAATATATATATTTTGTTTGCGATTTTATGTAATATTTACTATTATTATTTAATAAATACAAAATTCAATGCAGAATAAAAACACATACATAACAAAAAAAATACAAAATAATATTGCTCAAATAAATGAATTTAGGCAATATTATTTAAGCGAACATTCTAGCTATACTCAGTTCCAGTTCTAGCCATCTCAACTGCACTTTACTATCTCTTCTGCATAGTTGTCATACTTTTTGCCCTTTATAGAGCATTAAAAAGCAGTGCAGAGCTTTATTATGCAACGTGTAAAAAGAGGAAGCTAGAGACAGGAAGGCACGATGTTGCTACCATCTACCAGCTACCAGCGAGAAGGCTGGCAGCAGACCTGCTCCATAGCTCAATTGCTGGCTGGCTATGTGTGTTCGTGCTTCGTGCTCTGTGTGCTCATTGAGTTGCAAATTTCAAATGCACAAAAGTAATGCAACTCATTTAATTTTCACAATATCCTTGTGCTTTACTTCTGGTTGTAGTCGAGCATATGCTGGGTCGGGATCAGGGCCGGGGCTAGGGCTGGGGCGGCGCCCCCTTAAGCTGAAGCATATCTCTCTCTCTCTGTCGCTCTCTTTCTTGCTCATTTGCGCCCTGGCTCTGCTTTTGTCACTGTGTATGTGTGTGTGTATGTATGCTTGCTTCCGTTTCCTATGCTTGTTACAATGGCTGACTCGGTACCCCAGTTCGATTCCCGCCCGCGACGCTGCTGGGAGTCGGCTCTCAGTCTCAGTCAGCCTGCTTTGTATCACTCTATGCACAATTGCACACAGCACATCAGAAACACACACACACTCACACACATAGATATACATATACATATATATGCCTGCAAAAACAAAGCTCCCAGCTGGCTTGCTGGTTGCGCTGTGAGTTAAGTAAAAATTGGTTCATAGCCTGCCTCTCAGTTAGCAATATATTTTGCCCCATCGACACAGAGTCGAGTCGGATTGAAGCGGGGTGAAGTGAGCCGAGGAGAATCGAGACGCTCCAGTTCGAGTCGTTTGCCAGGGGTTTTAATGAAATGCGCAACGAATTTTTAGTGTCAGTGGAATTTTCAATTGCTCAAAGTTGTTATTGCTGTTGCTGTTGTTGCTGCTGCTGCTGCTGTTGCTGTTGCTGTTGCCATCGCAGTTGCAGTTGCAGTTTATGTTTGAAGAGCCGGTACCGTTGGCTGCACCGAGTTTTGTAGTTTGCCTGAGTAAATTATGTTTACTGTTTGGTTTATTCGTTGTATTTTGTAGCACTGTTTTGCTCTAAACAAGCCGTATGAGGATTTCACATAAAGCAAGAATAAGAGCGTGTGAGAGGGAGAGTTTTTCATGCCCCAACGTTGCTGCCATTCGTTTTAAGCCCAGGTGTAGGAAATGAAAATTAAACAGTTGTTTAAGCAAATAAAGGCTGGACTATTTGTAGCCATCTAAGCAGAGTCATAAAATGTGCAAAACTTGAAATGGCTTGAGCAAGAATATGAGTGGGGTTGCCAGACAATCAAACTGCATTCTCGACAAATGAGAAATAAGCATTAGGAGCGAATATTTAGATATTAAAGGTACAGAAATTCCTTAAAATGTTTTTTAGGCAGTCAAAAGTTTCCTGGATTTTAAAGTATATTTATTAGACATTATTTAGTACTAGATTTTTAGATATGTTAATTTCAAACACAACTGTAAAAGGCCATATTTAATAGTTTTTTTTTTTTTTTGTCTTAAATGAGCGATTTAGTCGCTTATAGAAAGCTGCTCAGAACAAAAATTCTGCACCTAGAACTAAAAGTCATTTTGATTACATCTTTATATAATATTTAAATATATCATGTGTATATACTATATTTTTATCTCTGTTAAATAAAATTGTAGATACCGTATCTAAATTGAATTGTGTATATTTATTCTTCTTCGACATATTTTCATCGATTTTCCCTCCATAGTAAATTCCTACACTCATCCACTCACTTAAATTATTCACCTCAAGCTGCACACTTATATAGTTTTCGCTATAATTTGATAATAGGTAGCCGATTCATTTATTGTAAATTGCCGCGTTATCAACGCTTTAAGCAAACCGCTAACAAGTCAACGCGAGCAGGCATAAAAAATTAATTTAAACTGCAAGCAACGCAGGCACATCAACTACAGCCAGCCTACCCCGCACCCAGCTCATCCAACTCATATACCAATCTGCAGCTCTCCCCCCACCCTCGCCATTTCACTGCCGTTGGCGTTGACAATAAATGCATTCGCATTTGTTGCAAGTGGCGCACCATGTGGCCAACAAGGAAGGTAGCCGTGGTAGCCCAGTTAACCCTTTTGCTTGTTGGACCTCTCACAACTTTTACGTTTTACGTTCTACGCTTTGCGTGCCAGTGTTACATTTTTTAATAAAATAATTTTTGCTGCAACGATCTTTTTTTTTTTTTTTGTTGCTGTTTGGCTCAGCGGGTTCGTCTCTCGTTCTCTCTCTCTCTGTCTCTTGCTCACCTGATATGAATGTAATCTCGCTGAGCATCATCCAGCGGGCGGCGAAATACAAATGCAACTGCAGATAACGCCCCAGGCGATGATGTAATTTGATTGTCACGTCGCGTGCATGATCCAGCACTTGGTCGGGCATATAGGAGAACTGAACCGGCTCCCCGATGAACTGGCGTCCGCCAATGCTGAAGAAAACTTTGGCGTGCACAAACACCTGCAAGAGAGTGGATAAGAGTGCAAGAGAGATGAGTAACAGTTTCACAAGAGCAACAGCAACAACTCTGTGTGTGTGTGTGTGTGTCTGTGTGACTGGCATAATAATTAAAGTAATCACATTCATTTTCTTTTTTACGACGCATTTGCCCGCGCGCGAATTGTACACACATTTTTGTTGGCCGCCGCCGTTGACAGTTTTGGTCGAAGTTCAGTTATGGACGCGCCACGGAAGTGCCATGCGTAATAAAAGAAGAGGCGGATAAAAATATCAAAAGAACATTGTATTTACTTTTGGGCCGGACATTGGCTACTTTTTGGGGCCAGCCGGATGTGTAAGTGTTGTCTTTCCCATTATCAATTGGCCTGGGCATGGCTAATGAGTTGTCGTTGACGTTAAGAGGTGTTGCTTCTGTACTTTGTATGAGCACATTGAATGCATGGAATATCAATTGAGAAACATATGCTTGATAGCTGATCAATATGAATAAAGCTTGGATTTGTTATGTATGGCTATAGTCTTACTTTGTAGACTTCGTTGTTAACTGAATTTGTTAGGCTTTATCTGTATCTGTATCTGTATCTGTATCTGTATCTGTATCTGTATCTGTATCTGTATCTGTATCT